GGGGAACCATTAATGGTCAAATTTCTGAATTCTTTCTGATATGAGTTTGCTAACCAATACACTATAATCTCATATTTTTCTTTAATAAGATTTCTTGAATATTCAAAGCCAGTAGACAAAGAAAAATAAACAGAGCATCTACTCAAATACAAGTATCCAATAAAAATAACATTTAATAAAATCTGTCAGATTAATCACCTCTTTAGAAATTGATAGTAGACTATATATATATATATATATATATATATATATATATATATATATATATATATATGTATGTATGTATATAATGTATGATCTCACATGTATTGTGAACCCCCAAATTTTCATTATAAAAAATGATTTTATCATGTAACTTGTGTATCATGCGAGTTCCTTTTTTTGGGGGGAGACCAAATTACAACAGACTAACCTCTTTTCCTCAATGTCTTTATTTCATCTTCTAGTTAAAAAAGTAAAAGAGAATGATAAAAATATCATTATTAATGCTATACTTGTGTAAATGTGTAAAGCCATAAAAAAATGAATGAGAAACACTTAAACATCTTATAAATGTAAACAATGAAAAAGATGCATATTCGTTATGCTTGTATTTTATAATATGATATTAATATGTAAATACTACATGCATTATTATTGGATACAGTTAAGTAAAACATCAGTTCTATCAAAATCATGTTTATCTTAAAATACAGCTGTATTGACTACTGTAAACAGATATAAAGTTTGGTCAATGCAATCACTAGCTTCAGAATTAGGTCTTCAAAAGTTGCATGATACACAAGTATATATGGTGTCTATATATGTATCACATTCATAAGATCAGATCATAAAGTTTATAAATTAATTGCATTTGAATAGTGTACAATAAGTAAATTCATTTAAATTCTAATTTATCTGCGTTCCTCTTATCAAAACTTATTTTAACATTGCAGATGTTTCTTCAGAAAGAGATACAGTTTGGGTTTAAGGAACGAACAATTCCTTAAGAAAATCTTTGATGGCAAGGCGGCAGGTTCAAAGTTTAAAAATTGTTTAAAGAGGTTGTTTTGCACTAAAGATATCACTCAAATTATGCCTCAATTTCAATTTCCCCTGAAAAAAAAAAAAAAAAAAAAAAAAAAAATACTCTTTGAAAATCCTTGTGTGCTATTTTGAAAAATGCTTCAGTTAAATATTTTCCATAAAACTTTTAACAACTTTGATACATTTACCATGATAATTCTCAAAGTGGTTTTTAATATCCCAAACCGAAACTGTTGAAGCTCTTGAAAAGTGATCCCCCCCGCCCCCCAACCTTATGATAGATTCATCCTTATTAAGATTTGCATAGTGAAGAAAAAAAAAATCCTGTCATCTTTCACGTCTCAAATGCATCATTTGATCCATGTACTGTGTTTGTTTCTACGTTTTTATATGCACAGATTTATAATACATACAGAACTATCCAAAAATCCAAACCTATTTCTCACCAGAATAACCAATACAACATTATTCATTTCTTAACGTGTCTCGTGTTATAAAATTCTACAGTAGGTTTGCTCAGGCACAAACACACATCCCAAATCAAGATGTGTGTCATAAAATGGAAAAATTTTCTCGTATCAAAAAGTAAAAGCCAGTTATCTAGGGAGTAGAACTGCCATCTTGCAAAGATTATCTTCAATATATCACAGTAAAAATTTAAATTATAATTCAGCAATGCAACCGTAGAGAAAGATATTCCTTTTAGTAAATAAAACTGTCATGAAAAGACAATTTGTGGGATTTTTAGCAACAATATGAATGACATACATAACTTGAGTTGAGCAAATTTGCATATATAACATGTCAAAATAAATGACTGCTACCACTATTTAATGTAACAAAATTCATATTATAAAAACCATTATACACACACACACACATATATATATATATATATATATATATATATATACACACACACACACATTATATATGTCACTTCTGCCAAGTTAAACAGCTTATCTTTAGAAAGGTAACTCATAAAATGTTCTTTAGATACAACTAATAATTCCTAGACATGAAACAAGATTAGGCAACACTTAACTTCTCTCTTTATTCAGAAATGATTTCCTCAGTATTTCTACTTATAAATCGGACAAAATTCAGTTTTTGATTCATTGTTTTTTTTCTATATTGATTGAGACTTAATCATTTTCTTTCCCTCTCTCTCATTTGGTTTTTCTATATTGAGAATTAAATAGGCGAAGGGGATGAAAAAGAAACTGTGTGTGTATTAGAGAGAAAAAGAGAGAGGGTATTGTGTGTGTATGTGTGTGTGTATGAGAGAGAGAGGATGTGTGTGGGTGTGAGTGAAAGAAAATTGTAAAGGCCTTAATGTTGTAAAGTCATCAAAAGCCATTTCCAATTTAATAAAAAAAAAACATTATGGTTGAGCATATTCTTCAGAATCACATTTACGCTCAATTAATGGAAGTAAAGAAAATTAAAATAACAACAACCTCGCCTCCACCAAATACCCAATATCCACCCCTCCCACAAGTAAGTTTCCATTAATTAACGTCATCTGTGTATCTTCATATGAAATGAAATTAAATCTGTTCGGCTTTGTTGATTTTAAAACAATAAACTCTTTAATATTTTGAATCAAGCTAAATTCTTCAATAACAAATTCCACAGAATTCCATCTCAATGTTTACAGAATAAAGAATCCAAACAGGAAAAAAAAAGTTTGTTTTCTGTATGAGAAATCTCAAAAATTATTACAAATAGAAAAACATTGCATGATGATATTAAAATGAAAATTATTTGTATTTCATGCATCCGGAACAGTACATGTCGTCTGTACCATATTGAAGACAAATTTATTTTCCAGAAACACATCAAACTATTAAAACCCATTCTTTATATTACTTTAGTTGTCATCACAACATTTTTTTTTCTTCAACCCATTTTTTTTTTTATCCTCAGTATTGCAAACCAGAAAATAAGAGCAAACATAAGAAATGGTAGGAAAACACATGTGGTGGCTGATGTGTGATGAACTGGATTCCTTTTTAGAAGGCTGCAGAATATGAGATGTTTGAAATGTTGTGATAACACAAAGCAACAAAAGAGAATGAATTTCAGTGTCTTAATTCTTGGAATGAAAATGACTCGGGCTCAGATTTTCCCACATCTATAAACAGACTTACAAACACAAGACGTTGTCCATTGTCCATCACAAAGTCAATGAATTGCCTACAAAAAAAATATAAAAACAAAACTACACAGATTTTTTCTCAGTCATTCGATCATAGAATAACTCATAAAACTTTTAAATAACGCTTATCGCAATCAGTAGTTATTTTTCTCTTAAAAATACATTTTGCCCAACAACAACAATGATAATCATAAAACAACAACAAAAATAATTACTAATAAACATTCATCTCATCAGATAAAAAACAAAACAAAAAAATCACTGAATAAGGTAAAAGTAAAATGTAGAAGAATTAATTCAGAAAACATGAATGAGATTTTTCATGTACACAGCCATTATCATTATTAATAATAATAATAATATAATTAGAGTCATTATTATTATTATTATTATCATTATTGTTGTTGTTGTTTTATGCCAAAAAACTGTATGAATATTATTGATAATGCACCAAATGTTGATAACAATAAGGAGAAAGAGAGATCTTGGAACATTAAAACAAGAAAGAAAGCCACAGACAAAAGACGCCCTGTGAATGGCTGTCACTGATAAACACAGATCTTTGGTCATTTTAGGCAGACAAGTGTGTTAACACAGATAGATAAAAAAAAAAAAAGAAGAATTCAAAGTGATCCAATATTTCTATGTAAACTCTTAACACAAAAGTAAAAATATTTTATATACAAGAAGATAAGTAACTGTATAGATCTATATAGGAAGAAAAATAACTTAGGGCTTAAGAACCCAGTAAAATTACTTTTTTTTACCCCCACCCACATCTCTTTATTGTGTGTACACTTGCTGACTGATGACTGACTCACCCAACTATATGCTCTCTCTCTCTCACACACACATATATATATATATATATGTGTATGTGTGTGTGCATGTTAAAGTTCTCAATAAATCTATAGAGAAATCAAATTGAATAAAATAGACAATTGGAAAATAATAATTACAGCAAAGACTAAGTACTATTTTCCAATTGTCTATTTTATTCAACACATGTTACACACAAACACACATTTACAAATTGTTACACATGTCTACATGCAAAGTCCTCAAATATAAACATATCTAGTTACCTTACACATATAGCTATCTACACACAAAGTAGTTTCATATTTACAGATATCTACATATATACAGGTTGCTATATATATATATATATATACACACACACACACATATACATACACAGGCACACACTCCCACAGACTGATAAGACATCATCATATGGACAGCTACACATAAAGTAGTTACTTACACATACATACATTTATAAATCTACACATCATGGCAACTAGACAGGTAGATATTTTGCCAAATTTGATATGAAATACATAGAGGGGGCAAAATGAAAATCCAGTCAACAAGATCCCATAAAATGTGTTCTGCTCCCTCATCAAACAATGAATAACAGATTCCCCCCATCCTGCTCCCTTCAATGAAGTCAGTGGGGTTGCAATGTTCAACAAATTTGTTTTTGTTTTTTTTAAACAATTTTCACTTGCTATTAAAAACAGCCTGTGAGTGAAATCTATTGCCCAAGCCAAATCCACTACAGATGTTTGGGGCATCCCCCCCCAATTGTGGTCACTGTGTCTGTTCCAGTGGATGGATGACATCAGGCTACGAGTGAGACCGACTGACCAGAGCGTGAAGCTCGTTCAGCATTGTTCAGATCTCAATCAGTTGGAGATGATATTGGAATTTGTCATCAAATGCCATCATCAACTTGCTGCTCAGTATGGAATCTTGTTTTGATAATACTGCAGCATGTCATAAGTTTTCCCTCGCCAGTTAAGGTAACAGTCCCGTACGACCTTCAATATGAAATTGGCTGCTTCACGCTCGTTAGCTTGGGGAGCAAAACGACTGCGGAGTAACTTAATTGTCTGTCCTCGAAAACAAGGGAGTCCAGTATCCAGCATAAGTGAGACTAAAGAGACAACTGCCTCCTGATAAGGCCTGGAAAAAAATTAAAAAAAGTAAACAATATTATTAAACTTATCAAAAAAACATACTAGCTTGAGTCATAAGTATTTCCGTTTTTTGGGGACCAATCATAATAATAAACTCATCATCATAAATATTGACAGATACAGCAATTTTTCTAATTTTTTTTATTTTTGTTGTTTAATCATTGGATTAACATATAGAAGTATTAGAATAAAACTTATGGTTACATCTAGATATTTCAAGAGTAAAACAATGAGACCTAATTGCCAATCTAGTAGCCCATGTGATGAAGGTACCAAGGAGAAAAGGTCATCAGAAGAAATACATGAAAATATTTATGGAAAAAAAAAACAGAGAAGCTACATCACAGCAGTGGGAGTGATGCCAGGTCAAGATCGATAATAATTGCAGACTCTTTGGATTTTGCTGAGAATGTCAAGATATATAGCTGTAGCAACAAACCAGATATGATAGCAATATGCAATGCACAGACAAATGTCAGATTTATAAACATGGATCCCAATGAGAAAAATTGTTATGACACAGTAGATCACGTTTCTTGGTGGCAGACCTTGCAATTCATTCAATATAAATCACTCCACTTTATATCAGTAGAAACCATAAAAGCACTTAATGAGTTGATTTCCTGAAGGTTAGCATCAGCTACACTGATAGAGAGGGAAAAAATGATTCCCTATGATGATTAAAGAATAGCAGTTTGTTTTCAAGGCATTTAAATTCACAAGCCATGTCTTGCCCCTGTTAACAACTGATTGGAAGTTGTTTTTGATAACAGCTACCAGTTTTGCTTTGTTGGACCAATAGTTGTGTTATCAGGCATTTTAATAGTTAGAAATCTTGTCTCACAAGATCAATTACAATTGAGTAGTGAATTCGTTCTTCACTGGGTGCTCAATATTTTCGGCCTTGTGCCCCATCTAACTTATGCTTAGAAAAGGTGCATCATATAAGCTACACTTAGAAAACCACCAATAGTTGTGTCATCGGGCATAAATATCTTTGTTCGGAACTAAAAATAAATTTATAGTACCCTAACATTCATGAGTTTTTCTTGCAGTGGCAGAAATAATAGTGAATAAAAGGAAAAATGTTGTTGAATTTCATTAATTACTTTTTTTTTTTAATCAGTGAAAAACTCTTTGAGGAGAAAACTTTCTCTAATAAAAAACAAAATTCAAAACTTTGTCTGATAAATGGCAAATAGTCATTTGCAAATAATGGAGAATCTATAATTGAATAAAATATAATTGTAGTTTATTTATTTATTTTTTTTTTTTTTAATAAACTTGATCAGTAAAAACGGAAATTATTTCTGACTCAATAATACAATTTGAGAAAAGGTTTGTTTTATGAAATTAATATTTGATGGTCAACAGTCAAATCAATATATACAGATTGTTTTAATCATTGCATATGGAAACCAAAAGGAAACAAATACTTAACACCAGGAAGAGACTTATATAATGAGGAAGGAGGGCTTGGGAAATTTGATACTCACAAGACAGATTGCAGAGGAAAGCAATGCATAATCAACTTAGTGATCTTGAGTAAATGGATGGCAGAACAGGGTTTAAGAGAAATAACAAAAAGACAAAATTTATTAAGAGCAATGAAGGACAAGAAATTGTGGAGAACCATGATCGTCCACATCCTGAAGGGACATGGCGCATAAAGAAGAAGGTTTTATTTGGGGATAATTTTCTTGCCTTTGTTGATATTTATTTTTTATTTTTTTTTTACATTTCACCTCATTGACAAGACAAACTGAGGGAGCCCAACCATCTCCAGGCTGGTTTAAATTCAATTTTCCTTCTACAAGGCTAGTTGCCAACAAAAGCTATAGGACCCAGTTTATCCTGCTATTTACCCCATAGCTGGTGGGGCAGGAGATGGATTCATACATTTCCCAAGGGTATTAGCATGTAAGTGAATGTAATGAACTTGACTGGAATTCAAACTCAGTTCTTCGATTCCTCAATCTGAACTGCTATCCATTACTCTGCTGTACCTCCATGTGATAACTAAATATTATGCCTGTATAAAAAATTTGATAATATTCTGGAGGCATAGCAAGATGGATAATTGTAATGTCTGTAGGATAATATAATTTGCACTGTGAGATCCTGTAATCCTGTCATTAATTTTGCCTAAGAGACTAGATTCTATTTCTAATATGCAGAAATTTATATAAAGTTATAATAACAACAATAAAGTATTCACCTGATGGCCAGGAAGCCCTGGACACACAGCTCCATAAACCATTGGAATGGTGGCGCTTCCATCTTCCCACCCATGATCATTACCATTTCATCTGTCAGTTTGATGTCGGGTTCCCAGCCGAGATTGCCGCCTGGAGAACTTTCAAACATGAACCCAAAATCTGAAAGAGAGGAAAAAAAAAAAAAAAAAATCAAGAGAAACACAAAATTGGAAATTTAGTTCAGTAGTAAAAATTAGTTTAGTGTGTGTGTGTGTGTGTGTGTGTGGAAAGGACCTTTCAACCTTTGAGGTTCTTTTTTGTATGAGGCATTGAACCCAGATTCAGTTTAATATATATTTTAAACTGTAACCTGAGATGATTCTTTGATTAATGGGCAAAGAATAACAGCATCTTCACTTTCATTTGATATAGGGATCCAATACCCAAAGACCCAGTATAGTAATGAAAGGGTCTTTGTGGCTTCTCTGTTGGTAACCCTATATCATTGACATGTTTTTTGTTTTTTTTTGTTGACAAGTCTAACCATACACCTATCACTTCTCACCCCCCCCAAACTACGCCAGTTCTGAACTCTGCTCTTCTCTTCCTCAGTCACTAGTCACTAGCTCCGTTAGCTTTGTCAAGTAACACCAACCTTACAGGTTGCCTGGTTTTCATTTGCCTCCTCAGTTACGGGTGGCATGTCATCTCGATAGGGTTGATTCAGGTTTCCCAAAATCCTACTCTATTGTCATTCACTGTGTGTACCACTGACAAGATCACATAATTACTGCCTGTGGATGGGCTAAACTTTAGTCTCTTTATGTCCAAGGGCAACTCCTGAATCGGGCTGGAATAAGAACTCCTTCAATAAAATGCACAACACTGTTGATAACTAATAACAGGTCTATTGAATACAAAGAATAACTGGTTGATTAAAATGTCTCTATTATCTACTGCAAAATCAAGTTCTCTATTGCAGGATGGTGATTTGGAAAATGTCACAAATGCTAAAGTAATAACCATCCAGTTGATTCTTCCTTAATTTTTTTGTCATGTGTGTGTGTCTGTATTTTTGCACCAGCACAGCAATTGCAGGTATGTTCTTTAATGACAATGATCTTACAAGTAATCTTGGGCAGATCTGAGCCCACTTCTCTTGGGCCTGATCTCCTCTGTCTGTCGGCATGGGGGGAATGTCATTTATATAGACTCTCTCTCCAAAATTTGACACTGATATATCTAATTTCTCCACCTGACTGTCTCAATCTTAGGACATAGTTAAAAAAAAAAACTACTTCCTTTGTCTTAGAATCTTCCTAGATATCTTTCTGTAAAGATAATTGTGTTCTTGGGCAGTCAGCATAAACACATCCCTATGTTGGGGATTAACATGAAACAGATGCTTTGCTCTTTCTCTAGAATAATTTCTAAGAACACACAGTTTGAACAGATGGCGTAAGTAAACAAACTTTTGAATTTTAATTTCTTTGGACCTAAGAAATTCAAACAACACATTAAATATGTTTTCTTATCAGAGGGAAGTGGACAGAGTTGAGAATCTTGGTTTTGCTCAATTTCACTCAATCTTGTCTAGTAAATTTGGGGTTATATTCTCCTTAGAACTCTTCTTAAATTCATTTAATGTTTCATTTTTAATTTTCTTCTCAACCATTCAACCTACTCTCCTGAAAATTTTAATAATTATTATCTAATTAGTAAGCCCTCCAAATCATCACCCTGTAATTTCATGAAATCAAACATTTAAACTGGATCAGTACCCCATTACAGGTTTCTCCTTAAATGGATTTGCTGATAAAATTCCAGTTTCTCACACTAGAAAAAAATCTTTACATGGAGCCATTTATTTAATTTGGGGTCAAGATTACATTGAATTTTTCCAGATTATTATTCTAATCCTCAATGAACATAAAATAGGGGTTCAGTTTTAGTATTAAGCTGAACCCCTTCTCCCAACAAGTACTTTATCTCTTATCTTGAAAGGTTTAATGTTTAAGAATTATTTTTTCCGAGACTAATATCCTCATCTTTGTGATATTTAAAAGCAGGAACCAATTATTCAGGTACTAAACCAATTTTATTCTTAAAAAGAAAATTGTAGAAAATGCCAAGGAATTTACAAGATTTCATTGATTCTCTCCAACAAGGAAATGTAAAATTATTGACTGCTTTTCTCTTTTGTTTTTTATCTTCTTTTTTTTTTTTAAATATGACAAAAGGAGTGTCTTGTTTCCAAAATGATTAACACTTACCTATATGCACTATATGACCCTCAGAATCAAGCATTATGTTACCATTGTGCCGATCTTTGATTTGTAGGATGTAGCTGATCACACTGTAGGCAGCCATGCTTACTATGAAGTTCCGGCGTGCCTAATGAGGAAAGTCAAAGAGGAATTAGTGAAACTGAAAAGACATTTAAACAAATGCAATCAAAGTGGTGGATAATAATACTACTACTAATACTACTAGTGGAAATAAAGCAATTGAAATGAAGATGAAAGAAATCCTAGTGAAAAATGAAGAATGCTTGACAATGTTTGATCTAATGAAAATTGCAGATAATATTACTACTACTAATACTAGTAGTGAAAATAAAGCAATTGAAATGAAGATGATAGAAATCCTAAAAATGTTTGAGCACACTTCCTCAAAGAAAAATAAAATTCAAGATTGGAACATGTCTGAAGTCATAATGCCACTACACATTTAAATAATCTATTGGTTGGAATAATGAAAACATTTTGTATCCAAACATTGAACAACAATATTTCTGATACTCAACAAAATAGCATGAAGATTTGAGCAATTGAAGATGAAGGATTTTATTTTTCTGTAGGTATTGCTACATGACATAACAAGTTCTAACAATAAACAGAGCCAATGAATTGATTGGCTAAAAGTTTTGCAATAAAAGAAAAAAAAAAAGAAAGTGTTAAATAAGCCATATTAACACCTACTGCATACCCTCATGATTCAAATGCTGATCTCACAATCCTTTGAGAATGAATCTCGCAAATTGCCCGTAAAGGAAAAATATTCTTTGGCATTTGTTTCTCAGAATTTTGTTAGGCTTCGAAAAGGAGATCATTTTTAGGACTTTTTCAACTAAAAGCTTATTCTTAGCATTGTAGCCACTTTTTAACCAATACACATTTTACAGTCTTTTGCATTTGTACAAATTCATAAAGAAATTTCTTTCCAACACAGGCAAGCAGAAAAGAAAAGGTAGTTAATAAACTGAACGGCTAAAATCATTTCCAGCAACATTAACCCAAAAGAAAATTATGTCAGCAACTTGTATAACAAAATTTCATACTCATAGATGGGGGGAAGTTCCCTAATTCCCTCCCTGCTGAGCAAACAAAAATCCCATTGCCTCCAAAATCCAAACTGGCACGACATATACATTTTTCATTCAGTAAACTATGCAGTTTATTATTTAGACTTTATCTTGGATATGCCCTTCTCATTTCTGATACAGTATGGTATGCCATAACTTTCTGGCTATGGCTTTTGTGTGTTCTTCAAATATGGTTTTTAGAGACAAATGCTTTCTTCTTTTCCACATTTACCTGGAATGTTATAAATGCAATTTTTTTATCAGACTGTTCTCCCATTTGAGATCAAATTCAATCAGGATATTACAAAATGTGTAGCTGATGCTGTAAGGTCTATAGATCCTTACCATTTATTCAACAGTTTTTCTTTTCAAGAACAGACTTTATTGATCCTTCAAACTGATAAAGGGTTGTCACTCCAACAAAGGTTTGTTACATCATCAGCAAGGGTGAAAAAAAAAAAAAAGTGTGTCATCAACTACCTGCATTTAATATTCCCTTCTTGTAGTTGTTCCACACATCCTACATATTTAAATTAGTCAGCACTAATACCGATAGTCAAATGCATCAGTAGCACCACATCTATGCCAATCAGTCATGGTTTTCTGAAAACATCCAATTCATCAAGAGGATACAACCTATCTAATGACAAGCAGTGCTCAGGCCCAGGAGAGTGAAATAGGGAGGAAAAAAAAAAACAAAAACAACTGCCAGAGGCTCTTGCTCTTTTGGCAGATTTCTCTGGTATTCATCATTATTCTATTTCGCTGTCTAATAAATAGCACAACCAACTTTTGTGAACCCACAAGGGAAGATTTGAACCAATATTTAAAACTGGTCTGATGACGATAATGACTGTTCAATTTTTTATGCTGTTCAAAAATGTGTTTTGGTGTTTTACGTTTCCATCGTTAATTGTCCAGATGGTTTAACCGAAACCAACATTGGCACAGATGATAAACATGCCTCTGACACCAGCCCAGATGATAAATACATCCAACATTGTCCGAGATGATAAATACACCTGATATTGGCCCAGACAATAAATGTGCCCAACATTGGCAAAGGCAATAAACATATCCAATATCTGCCTCAGTTAAATTAGACATTTCTATGGAGTGAAACAGGAAGCAAAAAAAAAAAACAAAACACATTCCATATAGATCTTCATTAATCTAAACTGCTCACCATGGAATAACAATGAATTCGGTCAAAATTAAAGACAAAAAATAAGAAAGCAGATGATCTGACTAAAGAAGCAGAAACACAGAAACTACGGATACTGGTTGCCTCACTTACCATTTGAAACTCTGACGTGTCTTCATCCCCATATTTGCTTATAAAATATTGATACATGTCAATATCTGTTTGTCGACCAATCTGGTCTCTCGATTTCGCATTTGGCACACATTCAATAACACCACACTGAAAAGAAGGAAAAATAATTCAATTTCATTTATAAAAACTGATTGCAGAAAATGAAGATTGAAAAATAAAATCCGACTCCATTTGATTTTATTATTCTCTTCCTTAGATTGAAACATTTTAATGCTAACAAAAAATTTAAGATAGAGAACATCAAGTAAAAAAAATATAAAATTTTTTTTTAATCTTTATTAAAAAATAACTTTCTCTATAGATGTGTGTGTGTATATATATATATATATATATATATATATATATATATATAAAACTGAATATGTTAGCTCTATCACAGATATTGAACACTTTCCACTAAGAATTGTGCATATAAATATATATATATATAGTAATAGAATTCTTCCCTCCTTTCTCGTTTCCCACTTATTTTTGCTAACTTTACTATTCTTAAAGTTTAATATTAAAAAACCTGTAACATTAAGTATCATTACATCAGTGTCTTGATGTCCAGATATATTTTGATTCAAAACATAAAAGTCATTAGAATTCTGCACCCAAAGATTGCATCAGGTATGAAACTCAGTGTTGTGCTAGAGGTGTTTTTATATATATATATATATATATATATATACATACACACACACACACAAGGTGTCCCAAAATATTACTCACTCCTTAAATAAATGATGTGTTTATTGACTTGCAAAAAAAAAAAAAAAATTAATGGTTAAAATTAAATTCATCGATCTGAAAAATGAAAAAGTCAAGAAGTTATAGGAAAAAAAGAGGGAATACATTTGTGGAGGACACCCTGTGTGTGTGTGTGTGTGTGTGTGTGTGTGTGTATATATATATATATATATATATATATATATATATATATATATATATATATATATAATGATAAAATGTAACAACAAATGTGTGTGTGTATATATATATATATAATGATAAAATGTAACAACCAAACAAAATCTGTAAAATATAATAAGTGAAAACGAGTTGGATATTTAAATTTGTTTTTATTTTGTGGCCACCATTTCACATAAACCATGCTACTTAGTAACACTGTGAGGAATTTGAAAAATATTTTAACATTTAACAATTAATAAAATTTAAAATATTTCTGAATCAAATAAATATCTGCAAACACATCACTGAGACATGTACAGATGGAAAATATTAAACATAATGATGGAGGAAAATAAAGAATATATATATATATATATATATATGTGTGTGTATGTGGGTGTGTGCATATTTGAGCAGCAATCCCTCATTTATACAACTTGTGTGTGTGTGAAAACACACATTATTTTAATTCAAATTTTTGTACAAAATAAGGTGAGAATGAGGTAAAATACTTACACCAGGATTTGTAGCCACAACCCGGTATGGTTTCAGATAAAGTTCAAGACCAGCCAATTCAAAGATGTTCTTGAACATGGAAATCACCTGCAGGGCAAGCATATCCTACAGAGATGAAAAAAAAAAGAACCACTATTAATGGCTTATTCATAGAACCAGGATGGTTTTTTTATGATTTTATTTGGAAAAAAAAAAAGTCCATAAAATTCATATAGAATTCTAAAATAAATGAAAAAAAATAAGGAATGCACAATTTAAAATTATCATTTTGTAGATGACTAGACATTATAGAAATGTGTCAAATCAGTTATAAGTTTGTCTCTGATCAATAATATTCAATTCTAGAAAATTTAATCAATTAAAATGCATGAAATCAAATAACTGAAGAGATTATTTTCTATCTTTCCTTTTTTCTTAGAATGGCAATATTTATATCAATGAACAGAATTCAGGTGAGAGTTATTTTCCTCCAGATCTTTTCAAACACACTTACAGACTGTTTTAAAGAATTTTTTTTTTTTTTTTTTAATTAGCTATCTTATAAGATTCCATTTTTTTCCAAGACAAAATGAAAAAGACTGCTAAAATGAAGTTCCTTACTTGGCGCACATCATCTCCAACTTTAAAGATGCACGCCTGCCAATAATTGGGGTTCTGTTCACTCTCCAATCCACATGATTCTTCAAGACCCAGGGTTTCCAATTCTTTAACACCAAATTTTCTGACAGCAAATTTTGCCAAAAATGGAGCTTTGGCTGCACTGAAACGGCATCAGGGAAGAAAAAAAGGAAGTTAAGACGATTATTCAAATTTCTTTGCTGTTTTAAATCAACCCACCTTTTCTCACCCAAATCACAGAGAAAACAAACATTCACAATGTGTAGCAATATCAAAGCTTGCATTCTACTCAAAGACAATTTTACAAACTGTGAACATTCAAAAACCTGGAATATTTCATCTCCTCTAGAAACAGCAGGTGAAATAATATGAAATAAGAAGACATCAGGTATTTACTATCATAAGCCACTTGCTCATCTCACATTTACATTGATCAGTTCTCAAGACATTTGTCAGGTGAATATGGCATTGAATAAACTGAGCAGTTGAATGTGATAAAAACAACAAAAAGGAGGATAACATGGCTGAAGGATACCAACATACCTTAAGAAGGTCAAAGACAAAAAGAAAAAAATGTAAATAAAATAGTGAAATTACTAACCTTTGCATAGGAGTACCTGAATTGTAGTCTATCTCCATAACAATAGCTTCAGGATTGGAGGGGAGGTAAACTCCTAGAAGGCGGTTTCAATGGAGAAGGAGGGAAAAGAAAAAGAAAGAAATAATATTCCATAATTGTCATCATGATAGAAGTTGTAAATGGTAACATAAGGTACTTCCAAAATTTTGCTAAAAAAGAGAAATGATGAAAAAAACAATGTCAAAAACATAAAAAATTTTATCCTCAAAATCTTTGTGTTTATTATTAAAAGGAAAGATGAACAGATTTTTCAATGTAAAAATTCATTTTTTTTAATAATTTTTAAACTCTTCAAAATCTTGTTTTTATGATGTCAAGACAAGACCTTATATTTGTATGGGAAATTTGTGGTAAAAATCTGTTGTAGCATACCTATGGACGATAATGGGTATGTCCCCATTTACATAAATACAGTAGTGAATACTGTATGTTGGTCTGCAGTTGGAGATTTATTGTGGAATTCACTTGACTCACTTGTAGCAGTTGACTACTTCTACAGACCACTGGCAAATCTTATATGTGTTGTTCTTGTCCTAAGTATTATCATTCATTATGAGCCTTCATGTGATTATTCTATTCAGTAACCTTCCCTAGGTTACAACAAAAACTCATTGATTTGATTTGGAAATTCTTTCAACAATCAGATAATTGTCGGTTTTTAATGAAAGTTTCAAGACTTATTCAGAAATAAATGAAATGATTTGTGAAATGTTTCTTTTTTAGAAAATCTTTCGTTTTTATGAATTTTGGAGAAATTCATTTTTGTATCAATTAATGTTTGTTATAAAGACAAGTCCTCATAGAATTTAAATCATCAAATTTTTTGATGAAACAGAACCCACACCCCAGTTACAGAAAATATGGTTTGAATTTTAAAATAAAATATTCAATAAAAATAAGATATTATTTAACAAGAACACAGGATTTCTAATTGGATTGCTATTTCCATGGAAAGTGTTCTGATGAATTACATTCCTTAGTTCCACCAATTCTAACCTTCACAGCTAAGACCTGCCATGTCACAAACATTGTAACAAACCATCCTCATTCTCTTTGCATTCCATTGGTGAGATGTAAGTTCCGCTCAAGCAGCATCTTCTCATGAACCACTTCTCTGTGGATCTGAATTCAAAAGGGATATAGTCCTAATCACTACAATCTTAACATGTTCAAGTCTAGTGTTAACACTTATCTTCCCCATATATCCACATAAGCTGCACCTCAAGTGGCTCACCTCACTTTTTGGATTATTTCAACCAATACTTTTATCGACTGGGTTATGTGGATAAAAGCATTGGTTGTAGTATTCCAGTGACTTGATCCAAAGAGTTGTGAGTTCAATACCTGACCACAGCAGAGGTGAACAAAAACCTGGAGAGTTGAGTTATTAAAGGGAGATAACTGAAACTAAGATATCTAGAAAAGGCATGGCACATGGAACAAGAACTATCTACCATGGGGTACAAAATAATGGGTTTGGTTTGAAATTCCAATATATATATTACCTGAAGAAGGCCAAACCATACAATGACTGAAATGTCATGAATATGATAATAAAGATGATGACAACAGTCCAAATGATGTAAATCATGTAAATGTTTACAATACCTCAAATCTCAGAAATATAGATAGATCCTGAAGAAGCCCTGAGTGTACAATGGCCGAAATGTTGTGAATATGACAATAAAGATGAGGACAACAGCCCAAACGATGTAAATAGTCAATCAACAACAGATATAACAAGTAATGAAAAAGGCAAAATTTTACAATGTTAACAAGAGGAAAGAATTAATCTAAAAGAACGCGCACCCTTTGGTAGTCGGATTTTTGCTAAGGCTTCTAGACAAGCTTGTTTCCTCTCAGGACCTTTTGGATATGGCCTGCAAAACAAACAAAAAAAAAAGTGAAATATTAAGAGGTGGAGAGAATTTAATTAACCAATAAATCAAGTGAATATTTTAAATTGTATTTAAAATGCTTATAAAAAAAAACAAGAAATATTTAATTGTGGGTCATTAAACTATTCTAAGAATTTATACTATATGCTTTTTTAAAGATCATCCCCCGACAAAATGTCACCATTCCAAAAAGAATATATGAAATAAATGGTAATATAAAAATGACATGCGACGAAGAGTGAGGTGACAATTAAATGATGACAAGATTAAAATCATTTTCTCTTAACATTCATTTGAATATTTCATCAGTTACTCTTACCCCAGTTTGTGGTGAAAGTGCCACCGCCCTGGGTCTGATATATGGACCTTCCATTCATGTGGCATGTGAGAGACTGTCTAAATTATCTCTGGGGCTGTTCTCACGCTTGCAATACCAGTGGCTGGGAGTAACCCCTAAGTCAACCCATTGATGTCTTGTGTGAATTGGATGCAGTGTCTATTCTTGCATCATAAAAAACATGTAAAAATGTTTTTCATTTCAAGATCTTTTTTGCTTTGTGCTTATAATAGAGTTTCAAATCAACTGTGTTTCCATCAGTTTTCAAAAAGCAAAGTCAACATAATTCAAATTGTGTCAGCTGAGCCATTTCAAAATGGCAGCCACATAAAAATATTCATTTCATAACAAAGAAATAAACTTGGAATGATATTTTTATTTTTTCAAGATTGGCCACAAGGAAATTAGTAAGAATTTTATTGTTTATTAACATGTTTCAATCCATGTTTGCTTGACAGATTACAGGAATAGAAAGAAAAAAAAAGAACTAACCGAATTTCTCCAGATATGTTGGTAATTTTACCAAAAAAGTCGAATTCTCTCTGGTAAAATCTGAGAGCAGCCCCAGACAGACTTTTCGTAATGTCCTTCATCAAACTTTCCAACAAGTTGCCTATCTGATCTGGAAAAAGAAAATAAAAGCAATATTTGGAAAAACATTCAATATAATTCCAATATAAAGAAAAAGATATTTGTTCAATTTGGCTGTGTGCCTTGAATGCATGTACAAAAAGCAACAAAATATGAATAAAAAAGAAGACGTCTGATTAAGCAACAACAAAAATTGAGTATTTATATAATTTTGGTCTGAATTTCTGGGATGAGGACTTATTATTTACATTTGAACTAATGTCCTAATCTTTGTTGTTACTATCACAAAGTTTCAGCCATTGTGCTCTCCAGCTTTCTTCAGGTCTCTACCTTCCCAGGGTAACCTTCAGAGAATTTGAAACTGAACCCATTATTCAATCCACAAGAGTAGACAATTTTTATTCCATTACCTGTGTCTAGTGAATTAAACATGAATTTGGTGACAGTAATTGTGAGTTCAATCCCTGGGCCAGGTAGAACAGAACCAGACAAAACATCACTAAGCTGTACTAAAAAGAGTACAAAACAAAATATCCCTAAACAAAACAGCATCATGAGAACAATTTAAAGCCTGTAGATTAAATAAAGGGTTCAATTTGAAATTACCAGAAGCTGACCAGAATTGACTGGCCCCAAGAGAGAAAACCAGAGGGCACAATGGTCAAAATGTTACGATAAGAAAAACAAATTTACACTATTTACATTCAGACTATTCTCCTCATCTTTGCTGCTTCTATCACAACGTTTCAGCCATTGTGCCCTCTGGTCTTCCTCAGGTGTATATCAACCTGGGTAACCTAGAGAAAATTCTACACTTTAAACTACAGGTGTAGACTTCTGGTGCTACTGCTCATGTCTAGCGATATCTCATCTAGTTCTTATTTTTATTTAGTACTGTTTAGTTATTGTTTGCCTGTTTCCACTTAGTGCAAATACACTCTGCCTGACCCAGGGATTAAACTCACAATCACTATGTCACCAAATTCACAGACCAACACTTTTACCCACTAAGCTATTGTCCTACTGTCAAAATATTGTGGTAAAAAGATGAGGACAATTGTTCAAATATAAATGGTGTAAATAATGATAACTCCTCATTCCAGAAATTCCGACAAACCAAATTCATGAATTATTCATGAATTTGGTTTGATGAGGAACGCAATTCCAGAAGGAACATGTGAATTCATAAATAATATTGGTCTTTTGTAATTTAGATCTTGCAGGTGGGCTGTTACTGTTGAGTATATATATATATATATATATATATATATATATATATATAAAATTCTGCTGGGACTATCATGTATAGTGTAAAACAGGTGAGGTGGTGGGAGTGGATATAATGGATCAAAAATTGTACCTACCATCTTTTATTGTTGAATCTTCATCCTGATACACATTTGTTTGCATATTCCACAGCAGCTGATGAGCCAAAAGAGAAGAATATTTGGCTGCCCAAAGAATAAATTCCACAACATAGCCCATCTGAAAAAGAACAAAAAAAATAAAATATCAAAGTTCTAAAATAGCAACTCTCAATTTTCTTAGAACCTAAATGCACAAAGGTCAACTTACTCTTCAGAATAAACAGGAGAATTTAGATTAAGAAAATTCATTTAATCAACACATTTAAAACTTTGACATTGGATTTCACCAAATTTTACCTAAATTTTAAATAAGTCATTGTCTATGTTTTTAAGCTTTCTTTATGGAAATGCAATTGACAGGATGTGTGGATAACATTACCAATATCTAAAATATTTATATTTGGACTATTGTCCTTATCTTTGTTATTGTTTGTTATTTCAGCCATTGGGATTCATCAGAGAATTAGAATTGAAACTTTTATTTAATCTACGGATTAAACTGTTCTCATTCCACTGTATAGTGATACTCTATAGTACTGCTCAGTTATACACTGCCTAGCCCAGGGATTGAACTCACAATTACTATGTCACCAAATTTATAAACCAATGCTTTAATCAACTAGATTATTTTCCTGTAAGACAATTTGCTATAGTGAATTTGAAGACTCAAACCTAATCTGCCTGCTGATACTGAAGACTTGTTGTCATTTGTCTTTCTTTCTTTATTAGCAGTTCCCATATTGTATTTATTTTTATGCTAGGCCTGAAAAGGAAGTCGTCATAACTTAGCATATGCATTGATTCTTTCAGATGTGTAACTTTCTCTATTGTTCTTCCTTGTCCAGTATTTTCACAGGGACTGATGATTAACCCTTTCCCTCCATACATGATCAGCTATACCAAATTTCATTGTCTCACCTCACTACAATAAAGGGCACAATGGCCAAAACTCTGTGATAAAAAACAACAAAGATGAGGACACTAATTTGAATATAAATAGTATAAATAAGGATAACTCCTCATCCTAGAAGTTCAAACAAATTACGGTTATCATTGCTTAAAGTGGAATTGTCAGATTGATTTCAGCCTAGTCTGTTACATTCACTTTTGAACAAATGACCTTGAAAAAGCATGAAACTATCTCTTCCTATCCACTCCCTGCCTATGTGCTGAATATGAGACAAGGCTGACTTCTTTAGCTTTGGTTGGCAACCAGTCTAGGAGAAGAACAACTCTAATTTCAAAAACCATGGAGAAGGCAACAGGAAAGCACTCCACTGTCATGGCAACTCACAAATAAAGAAAAGAAATGTGTGGAGAGCCATGATGAGCTATATCCTGAAGAAACATGGCAGCAAAAAATAAAATAAATAAATAAAAACTACATAATTGATATTGCAAATTGTAACAATGATAATGTTTAAAAGCATTGGTTTACCTTGTCATAACGAAGAGCTTGAACCAGTTGTGGAATGTAGAAAATCAAGGCATCCTAAGTAAAAAGAAGAAAGATTTTTCACCTTTAATCTGCATAATAAAATCAATAAACATAAAACAATTATCAACACACAGCTTTAATCAAAGAAAATCATTAATCCTAATCCATTTATATTTATGGATTTATCTAAAATTAGTATTAAACTAATCTTAGTCAATATCTCAATAGGTAATATTGTCAGTAAGTAAAAATATGGGAGATATGTACAACTGCAGCAAGGGCAATTGGTATCACTGACTCATTGTGATAAACAGCTTTACAAAAAAAAAAAAAAAGGGAGGGACCAGTGATTAAGAATCAAATGGTGATTTTTTAATAAGAGGAAGTTAACCAGAGAGTGCCACTCACCGGAGGATATGATCTTAAAGATCGTACTGCAAATTGAGCCGTTAATGGATGGGGTGGATATTGACGAGAGAAATAGGATAATGCAACTACAGGAGAAACATTGGCCCACGTCAGTACATGAACAAGCTGCAATTAAATCAAGACAGAAAAAAGATTTCATTATTACAACAAAAAAAAAAAAAACAAAGTAAATACTCTTAAAATAAAGATAATCAGTGAAAGGTTCTTTTTGTTTTGTTTTTTATATCTAATTTGGCCTGTATACAAAACTCAAAAGATAAAATGTTTGCGGTTCTTAAAAAATTAATTTAAAAAAAAAAAAAAAAAAAGGAAATAAAAACATAAAATATGATTATTAGAAATCTGACAACCTGATGCTCTTTCTGATTCCTATTTTTCAAGCAATTAATTAAAAAAAAAAAATTACCTCTGGTGCATCTGCCTCCACACTGTGAACAGTGACCAGGTAGTTAATCACTTCGGGGATTTGGTTAACTGCCATTGGATTTAGACGAACCAAACGAGTAACCTCCTTTACAAGCGCTTCAGAGTTTCTGAATCTGAAAAGAAAAATACAAAGAAAAGATAACAATGAACAAACACTTATTTCTGGGATCCACAGTTTTATTTTACTTGATCTCTCATTGTAGCAATTACAGGACAAAAGATTTGCAGAAGCCATTGAGAGATGACTTTGAAAATCGAAATTAATTTTTGTTACATGATAATAGTCAACAAATACAAGGCTCAAGAGCCACTCAAAGTAGAGGACTGCTGAATGAGGTGTGTCATATCAATGTAAAAATACGTAGTAGAAATAAGGATTTTACGGATATAGAGGATAGGTAGAGTTGACATTTGACTTCAAAATTGTAGTGTTTGGGGAAGCATCTATGTGGGAGCCTGTTCCACAAAGTTACTGAAAAAAAATATTAGCCTGAGTGGAACTTCCTTGTTACAACTGGAATGGTGTATCTGAGTTGTAAAGGTCTGAACTGTTGAAATTAAAAAAAGGAGCATGCCTGAACATTTGCCATGGAAATAGCAATAGGCTTCCACTGTTACATCTATGAGAAAGAAGCTAATTGAATGATTAGTCAGATCCTCCTTAAATGGAATGCGAATACATCGGAAATAGGAGAGTGAGTATATGTGTATCATGCTTTGTTGCAGATTACTTCCACAACAAAGAGAACAAATAACTGTAAGTTAGGAGACTCGAATATCAGGGGGCAGAAAGAAATGTTAAAATCTCGATTCGCAAGTCCTGTGTCACAAATTACAATACACGTAAACAGTCAGAAAAATGACTCACTCATCAATGAATGCGGTAACCAAATACACAATTTTGTCTTTCATTCCCGATTTGAGAACACTAACTGCTTTTATCGACCAAGCATTTTTTTTTTTATTCATCAACAGCTGGGAGAAGATGCCCAATATTTGCATATCATCCCAAATACTTTTATGGCGACTCCTGTGTCTGACTTGTTTCTGATTTGAATATTCTGTCTTTAGCATATTATGCAGAATACGTGCCCCCCTTTTTTTGGTAGGTAACTTCCTTTTTTGCCACATTTTTTGTCGTAGGATACGTGTGACACACTGTAATCAAATCTGGCATTTTACAAACTACCAATAAAAGTAAATGTGAAGAAGTTAGAGCAAATGAGAAAAATGGCTACAAACTGATTGACATCTATTCGAAAACGATTCCAATAATGGTTATTCTCTAAATAAGAATTACTTTTCACTTACCTATTTGGTAGATATACTCCAAGAATAGGGGAAATATCCCAAGCCAATCGAGCTGTTTCTCGGTAGTGCTTTTCAGTGACAATTTGATTACGCCATTGTGTTATGAGATCTTCTCCAGGGATTTTCTGTTCAACAAGTTCTAATGGATTGTGCCACATGATAAACGCATCGATGGTGTTAGCCTGACAGAAACAAAAAAAAAAAAAAAAAAAAAGACACAATAGGTTACATCAGAAGTGAAATTAATTATGAATTAACCAAACAACAATAGTAGTAAATTTTCTTTGTAAGCTTTACCAACTACTGCTGTACTTGGGCAATAAATAAAGTGTCTAGTCTTGTCCAAATCAAAGTCACTTTAATATATTCTTATATACTGTTAAATGCCAAGTACAAAATAACTGTCACAAGAGATGACAATGAGCAAATATATTAATGATGTGAAGTCGAAGTTTAGCACTAGTCAGTTGCTAAGCTTGTTTTCCTCCTATATTATTCTCAGTGACAAGTTATATAGGCTTTCTCTTGCACTTATGCAAATTAGGCATATTAATTTGCCAGCATCACTACAATTAATTTGTATAAATGTGAAGTTTTGAGCTCATACTTTTTCCATTATTAAAAGAAAAAAAGAAAAAAAAAGAGTTATGGGCAAGTTTCTCCATCTATCAATTGAAGAGAACCAACAGAACTTACCATGAGAGAGAGAATTAAGTTTCGTTTACGCATATAGTCTTTTACAACACGGTCACCAGATGCATTTACTTTCCGAGTACCTGAAAGAACATATGTGGAAAATAAGAACATTCCTCAAAATGTCTCCTTCTTGGGAAAGTATCTCCATGATAATTTCAAATTTATTTTACAAGCCAAGTACATTAAGAACAAAATAAGTTTTGGTTTTGTTGCCCCCTCTCTGCACAACCGCGACCCCCACCCCCCGCCAGACTCTTATGAAGTTTCCTTCATGTTTCAGCCATTTTCTTTCCTTCTTTAGATGAAATTTTATTTCTTTTTTTTTTTTTTTTTTTTTAGCACATATTATCCAAATAGCATTCCAGAGATAGCAATTTATGTTTAAAAAATGAAACAATCCTTGTGTCGGTGTTCTTTATTTTAGACAAGGCGGACTGTGAAATAACACAAACCAATCAAATACCGTCTGGATTATGCCGCCTTGCATTTTAAATTTTGTATCCCAAAATGGCATCAACAACAATAGTAGATTATAGAGTAAATTTGGAATTACATGGAAGACAAATAAGAATATTGGAAATAAAAACAAAAAGCTTTGAAAAAAAAAAAAATAAAAATAAAAAAAATAACCACCCATTTGAAAATCTTGCTATAAAAAAACCCATCAAAGACAGAAAAAAATGTGAGTGTATGTATCTGAATCTGATAGGGGATAAAAGAAGGTGGGTGAAAAAAAAAAAAAAAAAAAAATGTGGAATAGCGGGACACCTTATTTTCTCTTTGCATGAGAAATAACTTCTGAACATTTTATCTTAGTTGCATGCAGTTTGCAGTAAAACAGCCTCTCTTGGGTACATTTTATACACAACTCCTTCCCCATCTGTTGAACAGGAGTAGAGGTTTATCCCTTGTTTTCTGTTTATGATTGGGTTTCTGGATCCTTATAAAGTCTTCTCATTCTCTTTCTCTCCTAGTAGACCTCCTTGAGTCTTGGTGGCACTGTTGCTTTGCTTGGGGCAAAATGATTAAAATAAATAATAAAAATAACATGAATAGTTTTTAAATCTATGTTAAACATATGACATATTCACTGAGCCTGTCAGGGTTGAATTAACATTAAAAAAAAAACTATTATAAAAGAGTATAATTATTATTATTATTGCAATACTTAGAAATATTTTAAATGCAAATTTAATTTTTTTGTCTTTCAGTTCCCCTCCTGGCTATCATTTCAAAAACTTGCTTTATTTCATTTTGACTAAAGAATAAATTTCAGAGTGAAAAAAAAGTTAGACACTGGTAAATCTATAAGACAAAACCCCTTATTTTGATGCTGTTTCATTCATCAAACAGCATCAAAATCCATTTCATCTAATGATGCTGTTTGATCAGTAAAACACGTTAAAATAAGGGTTTCCCAAACATTAATATAGTATTAATATTGCAAAGGGTTAAAGGATGAACACTAATTCACCAATTTATAATGTAGGAAGTTCATCTATAATATCTACAAATCTGAACTTCTTCACAGTAAGAGACTTAGCCCAATGTTCGTCATGAGTATTGATAAATTATTTTCAACATCTATTTCATATGACCCCAGCAGAAAAATTTAGGCAAGCCTAAATTTTAAATATGAGCATCTGAGGTTTGTTTGTTTTTGTTTTAAATCTGATGCCAAAATTTACAAATGCTCAATCAGTTCTAATTCATTGTTGATCCACAGAAAAAGTTTTGGGTAATAACTAACTATAAGTTGTGGTTCTTCTGAGTTTTATCAAGGTTTCATCCACTAGCATTTAATATTAAAGCATGGGCTTAGGAAGTGTGTGCAGATCTGTGTAATCAAGTTAATTTTTTAGCATGGTCACATGTGCAATTAAAATTTTCCAATCTAGCATAGATTTAAAATACAATTTCCGTCTGAAGGTCAGAGGGTAAATGACAGCAGATTAAACAGCAATTATAAATAACAGGAAATGGATAGATGGCACTAAATAATTTTACTAACTTGGAAAAGTAGACAACATTTGCGGGTTTTTATGAAAGAATTTGAGAAAAAATGTTTATAACTAAAACTAAAATAGATTATATTGTTTGGTTTTATTTTTTCTTTTAAATTAAAATTTACAAATGGCAACCCAAATTGTGTGGGAAATATAATTTGTAATTAGGAGAGCATCAACTCCCCAATGATGTTTTATTTCTTCCTTAATCCCCTAATTATTACTGGAGAAATAACAAAGATTGTCATTTATATAATTCTATTTTGGGTGTATGTATATATCTTTTTGATTTTATTACATTATTTTTAGTAGATACCTGTATTTGAGTAGAACATACCTTTTCTTTTTTTTTGTTTTTTTAAAAAAAAGTGTTTATTTCGTTGACTGGCCTGCACTCTTGAAAAAACTTGATAAGGACAGAATACAGTATACAATATGGCCACCAGCAGATTCAAACCTGCATTCACTTTTGTAGGAGGAACCACCATCTGATCTGGTATGCTTTTGACCACTTGACTACAGAGCAGCTCCCAGCCCAGTAAGGTTCTATTTGCCTTCAAGCAATACCTCCTCCTTGTTCAGTTTTTTTTTCAAGAAAGCCATATCAGCTGAAGAAATTTCTAAAGAGCTAATGCTTTTTTTTTTTTTTTTAAACACTTGTGGATAAATCTGATTCCATTGGTATTGAAAAATCTGAGAACAATAAAATTGCTTACACTAAGCTGGTAGATATTGGAAAATGTCAACCCTCTTCCTGAGAGGGGCAAAAAGGAGTTCATCTCATATGACTGTAGCTGCTTCTTGAGTGCAGGCCTCCTCAGCCACAAATGTAAATACAGAAACGACCCCCATCTACCAATATGATATACAGCATGACTTTTTGGGTGAGCAGGTCAGACAGTGGACTCACTTGGCATTATAAAATTAAACATACAGATAATCAGGTTGGTGTTATAAGAATTGCCTATAGTCAATATGGAATGACTTGCAGGTCACTTGGAGGTCTTATTAGTTATTTGATACACCATCATTGACATGGAAATCATAAATAAATGTTTGTTTGGGAATGGTCATGTGTAGTGAACTTCTCTCATGTGGCTATTTCTGCTATTAATGCATTGTTCTTCAAGGACGAATTGAGCTCTCCTGGCTATTGGCATATTTTGTATAGAAAACATTAAAATTTCTCTTTCTCTCTGCTGTGTGTCAACAGCTTATGGGTAGGATCTTTGACTAATGCCTAATCAGTCAAGTTTCTATCCAGGCTTGAAGCAATTGAACATTTAGCCACACTGAAGAGCTGTGATACAGTGAAACTGTCTGTGAATGAATATATATATATATATATATATATATATATATATATATATATATGTGTGTGTGAAGAAATATAGTTTTAGGTATGTTATATTTATGGGATAAAGTGTTCAATATCAGAGACAGAGCATATGTAAATATAAATGTGAACATTGAAGTCAACACTCAGAGATGACAGTTTCATGCTAAATGCAGGCATCAGGGCTGATGATTGTGTCTAGCATGCAACAGTCTGTTGTCTCTGAGTGCTGACTTCAATGTTCACTTATATATATATATATATATATATATATATATATATATATATATATATATATATATATATATATATATATAAAGAAACAATTTATACACATATGAAGAACTATCTCACATATGTTGGTCAAACCAACATCATTAAGTTTTTAGTAGTGTGTGCATACACACACACATATATATATATATATATATATATATATATATATACACAATCTGTACCAGAAGTCGCACACCAACCTCGTCTCAATGGAAGAGTAAAGAAAGGTGTGAAGTCTCTCCTTTATCAAGAGATGAGTAATGATTTATGAAGAGAACATAATAAAAAATTGTTTTAATTAGAACCTCATCTTCATGTTTTTTTTCTGTTTCAGATTTGATTTAATTATCGGTGAGAAGAGAAACAATAAAAGAATGAGTTGAATTGATTTTTATGTTTGGAAGAAACGGGGGCGTCAGGGACTTTGCTCTGTAGCTCATGAATTCAACCTCAATCCCCCTGAGTGGGAACAACCATTGAACCATAACACTGATCAAATGCTTCCAAGAAACTGGCTCAGTTGCTGACTGTGAGAGATATGGCCGACCAAAGAGTGCAAATGATGAAGAAACATCTGCCATGGTTATGGCAAATTTTGCTAAAAGCCCTGTGAAATCAGAAAGGAGAATAAGCCAGGAGTTAACAATTAGCAAATAATCAGTGAATTGTATTGTCATGACTCACAAATTTACCAGATCTATCCTCACCCCTATTTCCTTTGGGGACATCTCAAATTTTGTGTACTAGAATCATCCACACACTCTTGATGATTTGAAGGATGCAATAAAAACTGAGTGGCAAAAGATCAGCACTAAAACCCTCAAGAGAGTGAAAAACAGTTTGATGAAGAGAATTGATGCTTGTTTTATTGCAAGGGGGTGCACAATTTGAGCATCTACTATGATAATGATCAATAAACGCATTTTTTTTATGTGTTTTTCAATGAAAACCTAGATGGTGCGCGACTTCTTGGACACCTTATATGGTAAATATAGAAAAAAATGTTTTAAATTTCTACTTTACTATATTTCACTGATTATCCAGTGTCAACAGAAAAAGAATTTTACTTCTTAAAAACAAATTCTACATAAGTGAGACAATATACTGTCCATGTTAAGAAATTAATGTTTGATGTTTACTTTAACTAAATTGGCATAGAAATCAAATTTTTAGTTTTTCTTGATCCCTTTTTTATGCGATGTATCAAAAAATGTATATTTAAGAGAATTAAGGTACCATTGCCATAGAGAAGGTATTTATTTTTGCATTGATTTTAATGACTGGTTACACTTTGGACAAAACACACACATATATATATATATATATATATATATGAAGAAATAGTTTTAAGGTGTGCTATATTTATGGGATAAAGTGCTCAATATCAGAGATAGAGCATATGTAAATGTAAATATAAAAGTGAACATTGAAGTCAACACTCAGAGGCAGCAGGCTGTTTCATGTGAAATGAAATTGTCAGGCCACAGCCTGATAATTGCATCTAGCATGAAACAGTCTGTTGCCTCTGTGTGTTGACTTCAATGTTCATTCATGTGTGTGTGTGTGTGTGTGTGTGTGCTCATGTGCATGCACAGTGTCTCCCCCACCCAAATTGTATTCACTCTTTAAATAGCAATAAATTCACTATTTATTGACTTGTAAACAAGAATAATGGTTAAGATTAAGATATAATAACATTTATTAACTTACAAAGAAAGAAAGGTTTAAATTAAATATTAAATGAAATTAAGTGCATGTTTACAAATATTCAAACTGGTATGGAAGTCAAAAAGGGGGGTCCATTTGGGGGGGGGACACTGCATATATGTAAAAGTTCAGATATAAATAAAATATATCTGATGCAATATGAATAAAAACAAAATAGGAACATTTCTTTAGCAACTCATCTTGTCATCTGATGGACTTTTTACCTTGATAAAGTCCCACCACAGGACAAAACGTATTGGTAAAGAAATCTTCCTTTTGTGTGTGCACATATATATATATATATATATATATATATATATATATTACACACACACACCAGGTGTAACAGCAAAATTGTTCAATTGTTAGATTAAGCTTTGAACCGTAGTATCTTAGAAATGATTAAAGATATCTTACTGGAATTCTCCAAGGATTTTATAACACTATTGGATTCTACTTTGAATAATAAGAATGTATTTAGCTTTAATTTGAAATGATGATCCCTCTTGCTATTGTGACGTCTTGATCCAGTTTTCCTCTCTACTGTTTCCTCTTTTTAAAACTTATTCACCGTTCTCTTGATGCTTCTTGAATAGACTTTGAAAATGGAAGTCAGAGTATGAATGTTGGTACGACTACTGAAGGCCTGAATGATCTTTTTCTTCTCATCATTGCTCAGTTGGGAAGACATAGTGGGACTGACACAAAACAACATTAACCTGTTCTCTTCGTTGTGGAATAACTCAAAGGGGTTTTCAGTGATTCTTACGCCAAATGGTGTCAAGATGGATAAACATAAAATAACTCAATTAGTGTTTTTTTTTTATTTAGATATTAAATATTTTTGGTGGGGATGAACAATTATCCCATGCTGTTACACCCAGTATACATATATATATTAGGGAAATCTATGACAAAATGGAAATATTTTCTGTGTAATGGAGAGGGGACACCAAGAATTTAAAATTTCTTTTTTTTTTAAATATATATTTTGGGAATATAGTCTAGATGATTTCATTTAGTTTCTTTTCGCCACTTTTGTTGCTGTTAAATATCCCACATGCGATAATAGAGGAAGATGAAATCTAAGAACCATTATCTAAATTTACTCTAGCAATTAAAGTACTTTCTATACATTTTGCCTAATTAAATTGCATTTTTTTTTTTTTTAATTAGTTCCTCCTTCAAGTTTTGTTCCAATTACTTTTAAAATAATAAACAACATAATACAAAACGAAACAATAAGATAAAACTTGGAGGAGGAATTTACTCTATCACCTGTAATAATTTACTCTATCACCTGTAATAATTTACTCTATCACCTGTAATAATTTACTCTATCACCTGTAATAATTTACTCTATCACCTGTAATAATTGCCACAAACACTACATCAGAAAAACCTCAAAGAATTTCAATAAAAGATTATATAAACACAAAAGGGATCTTTTAGAAAACAATACACTTAATGCATTAGTTGCTTACCGTAATGAGCCTGACCATAATTTTGATTTAAAAAATGCTACTTTAAAGGAGAAAGCAATTTGCTAACATGAAAATATATAGAAAGTGCTTTAATTGAGAAAGAGAAAGCAGGACAGGAAAAAGCAAAATAAAGAATCTGACCCCCATAACCAAAGGTCAAGGTAAATGTAGGCTAGAGTAGAGTACAAATAAAAAGCATTTTAAGATTTTTAGTTTCTCATCAGTGGGTACAACATAAAAAAAAAAAATTTCATTAAAATCTGAGATGGTGCCAATGAGAATTTCTGAAAATTTTGTCGAGTTGATATGGAATTTTATCCACATTTATATTGGAAATATACTTTACTTAATTTGCATCAGAAAACTAACAGTTTTTTTTAGCATATGTTTGATTTTTTTAAAATTCTTGTTTGCCAATAAAAATCTTCTTGATATGTACATCTCTTCCCTCCAGAAACCACAAATCTTTTCTGCTTGAAATAATAAATTTAACACAAGAGAAAGTGGCTTACCTCCAGGATGAAAACAGAATCAGACGTGTCTCGCATATAAAATATTCCCAAAAAGAAAGTGGTAGCTTTACGAGTCATATTTAAAAAAGATAGATCTCAGAGTTGGATACTTTCACAAGACTCACTTTCCATCTATGCAAATTTGAACTGTCACTCAACCTATAAAAAACACACTTAAAGAGATGAGAGAGAGAGAGCATGTGTGATTATGGTAGTATTGAACAGGAGGCACATTGTTGGATTGTTTGACTTCTGCTATTTTGAAGGTTGAAGCAAACAGATTTGGGAAGCTTATTACAAAAGTCAGAAGAGAAACTGACAACAATAAATAATCTGAAGAAAGTTTCCTATTCCCTTGATAACGATGCAATATTTATAGAAAGAAAAATTTCTGTTCATTTATTAAAAACCCAAAACAAGAATAGCTGAAATGAGAACAAGAGACATGTTGTAGTGCCTCATGTAGAAGAGCAAGTTTAAAACATTTCCTATAAAATGGAAAATCATTTCAGTCAAATAAACTGTCCAATTTCTTTTAAATTCATTATTCATGTGACACAATAGACTACAATTGAAATAATATTAAGTTTGGCAGTAGACTTAGAGACAAAAAACTTTAAAGTTTGAACTAAAATGAAAGATGCACAAGAAAACTTGGCTATAAAGACACACACACATCACTTTGTCAAGTGGTTATAAAATTTTACTAAAGGATTTGAGATTGGTCAAATGTAAGAGCCGAAGAGGCTGAAAAACAATGAAAATTAAGATTTTTATGGCAACAAAATTTGAAAGAGATAAACATGGGAGTAACTATTGGCAATACAGTGATAAGCGTTGAAAAATATGTGTTTTACAAGAAGATTTTCAAATTGATGGTAGATTTAATCAAGATCTGCAGAAAACATATCAGAAAAGAAATTGAAAACATTATGTCCATATCCATATTTGTATTACTGAGGGTTGGCTGCTGCTGCTGCTTTTTTTTTATTTAAAGCTTCCATTATTTTCAACTGTTCTTTTTGCATATGGATGTCATTTGGACAGTTTTTTTTTTTTTTTTTTTTTTTACACACTTGTTCAGAAAAGAATTCACCTGTAGAAATGCAAGAAAAATTTAATAAAAAGCTTAATTTCAGTATGTCTTCTTGGTGTTTTTATATCATCTTTTTGGTTTTTCAACTTTTATCTGTTTATGGCAAATATAAGACATTTTTTTTATTATTTTTTTCCTGAAACTTTAGTTTAATATGTTTGTTTTAATCAATAAATTTTGTATTTTGGCCCTAGTAAATTGTGTGTGTGTGTGTGTATGTATATATATATATATATATATGTGTGTGTATATATATGTGCATACATACATATATTGGTAAATATAATAGACAATGAATGCCTATTATGTTTGATCATGAGCTGTTCTAAACTTCATATAGTTGCTTTAATTTTTGGAGTTTTCTCCAGAAATTAAAGCAACTATATTGCATTTTTATTAAATAGGTATTTGTTATTTCAATCATTGTTTTTAAAAATAGGAGTATTTTGTATGTTAAATAATAAAACTTTTAATTTTTCTAAAAAAGTTAATGAAAATTTATTATACTAAGCTACACATCCTAATAAAACCAACTGTACTTTTTACCCCCCTACCTGTTCTCCCCAAAATTTGGTTTTGATTGGTCAATGTATGACTATTTTAGAGGGTGTGGCAGTTGGATGGAAGTCACAGAATTTTATTATAAATGGCAATGTGGAAGATACTGGTCATCTCAAGATTGTTGATTAATTCATTTTTAATGGCTTATCAACCCATTGCAGGAAAATATTTTTAAAATTTTTTTGAGAGAATAAGGATTTAGTGATACAAGTCTCAATAATTCAGATGTTCAACTTGTGTGTGTGTGTGTGTGTGTAGACACACACACACACACACACACACAATAAAAAAAAAGTCAGGAAATATTTGAACTAAAAAACAGTACATTTGTAGGAAAGAGAAATGTGCTTGAAGATAACCTGATATAAAATAAAAGAATATTCATTATTTATATAATGTTATATTATAGGATCTATGATTTTATCGTATTCTTCCATTACTATCAACATGATACTATCAAATTTTATAGTGTTTGAAGATAACCTGATATAAAAGAAAAGGATCATTAATCATTTATATAGAGACACAAACATGCAAAACCTTCATTGGGGAGGAAAAAAAATGTGTACTGATGGGCAATTGGTTTATAAAGTTACATGACCAGACAGGAACTAACACAGACATGCACACATACATACACACACTCTCTCTTTCTCTCTCCCTTTTCCAGTCACACCTTTTCCAATCTACAGAGCATGCCAATATCATAGTTAATACTTGCCAGAACCTAGGGTCCCAGCACTGCCAAAAAAGTCATTCTCTGGGAATCTTGACATGGAGCCCTCGGAAAAGTCAAATCCAGACTGGAAGGAGGTGGGTGAGACAGACAAGGCTAGACAGGAAAAAACCACGGCAACCATGTAAGATACAAAGAGGTGAGGGTATGGGTGTGGTTGGTTGGTAAACTGACTGGTACATTTATTTTAGGGGTTAAGTTTACCTTCAGTGTAAATGGTAAATAATAAAGAAACAAACAAACAAAAAAAACATTCAATTTTGACAATAATTCATATTTTGTAGGTAGACATACAAAATCGTTTCTTTTCTCTCATCGCCACAAAGATATGTCTCTTTATTAAAATGTTATATTAGGCTCTTTGGTCATTAAACAGACATTGTCAGCAATATAAGTCTCATTTTTTTGCAATAAAGTTGAGAAAGAGAAAAAAAAAGAAAAGAGAGAAAAAAAGAAGAAAAAAAAAAAAAAAGTAATTTTTTTTTTTCTTTTAAAATAAATATTTGCTATGTGCTAAAGTTCCCAGCACTCTTTTTTGAAAACTAAAGATAAACACAGTAGAAAATGAGATTTTGTTACTGGAGATTTTGGCACAAACATAACTAAATTGTTTCTATCATTTCCACAAAGACTAAACAAAAATCATGAAAATGAGAAATTTCATTGCCTTTTTCCTCACAAAAAGAAAGCTTAACACAACAGATCATTCGGGCTGACAATTATCTTTCAGTTTTCAATGTTGATAAAAAAAATAAAAATAAGTAGAAGTAAAATTAAGAAATAAACAGAATTAAAAACAAAGCAAAAAACAGGATTTTCAAAACAGGATTTCTTTGAAATTTTTGCAATGGTAAAATTTCTTCCAGCACAAAAACAAAATCGCAATATTATGATAAAGAGAAGTTTTTCAGCATCAGATATGACAGAGATGCCATACGGAATGAGTTGTGAGAAAGACATTCACCAAAACACAAACAAGCCACAAAACTGATCATGATAAAACTTGATTATTATTCTTCACATAATAACAGCCACCCAATCGCACCCAGACTCATTTCATACAAGTTTTCATTGCATTGTGATTCAATGGAAGCCTTCGCTCCTGTTCTTTTAAGTAGACACAGCCGACAGGTGGTAGAAAGCTGAAAACAAAATTCACCTGTTGCTAAACCAACAACACTACCAAAAGATGATCAGGTTTGTCACAACAGGTACCGTGAGGCAGATCGGTCATATTTGGTACAAGGAAAACTCTCTTCAGCATAACATTAGTATTTAATATGAAAGTAACAAATTACAAACAACTTTGTTTATTTTTTTCAACCTGATGGAAGACTACACTCGGTGTTAACAGTGACATAACTAGCTGCCATTTCTGTTTGGCTGAGGGTTAGAGTGTGTGTATATATGACTGGCAGTTATTTCTAATGTCTACCACAGCTACTTTCTGACTAGTGAAATATTGCTCATCTCCCCAGCAGAGCCTACGATCAAGCAGCTGAGGTCTAATGAATCCATTGTGACTGAAAAAATAACAGACTAACATCAACAGGAAGAAAAAAGAAAGAAAACAAAAATCTTGTTTAGTTAAAATCTTCAAGTCAATGAAAGTCGTTACTTAGATCTGATTATCAGACAAAATACAAACTAATCAAAGATAATATTTTGCCCTTCCTTAATACACACACACACATTATATATATATATATATATATATATATATATATATATAAATATAAATTGTCTGTATCTAGGCAGCATTTTTTCATTGATGCATGTTTCATTAAATATTATAGACAAGTTTTGTCTATTTTATATAAATTCTTTTCATATCATCTGATAAGCTTAATAGCATTATCATTAAAAGAAGAAAGAAAATCACAATATTGATACATATTTTTTAATCCTATCTAAGCTTTCAGCTTACATAAGCCATTATCAAAGATGACAATTACATTACAATATATTAAACAATACACAGGCAAAACAATAATGATAGTCTGTGCAGTAATGTGTGACGTCATGAGCTGTGGTGTGATTTTCGTTTTCAGCATCTCATATGCACATGCTTGTCGTTACTTGGAAATCTTCCATGTAAACAAAAACAGACTATCATTATTGTTTTGTCCGTGTATTGTTTAATACATTGTAATGTAATTGTCATCTTTGATAATGGCTTATGTAAGTCGAAAGCTTAGATAAGATTAAAAAATATGTATTAATAGTGATTTTCTTTCTTCTTTTAATGATAAGGCTATTAAGAGTTTGTCTATATTTCTGAGATAAGGTATTATGTACAGTATTTACATTAGTCGGACTATTGTCCTCATCTTTGTCGCCATATTTGTCACAATGTTTCGGCCGTTGTACGCTCCGGCCTTCTTCAGGTGGTTGGAATTTCGAACTGAACCCTTTATTTCGATCGCTGGGGTAGACTGTTCACATCCATCAAACATGGCACGTGGAATTAGAACAGTCTACCCCAGCAATCGAAAAATAAAGGGTTCAGTTCGAAATTCCAACCACCTGAAGAAGGCCGGAGCGCATAAACGGTCAAACGTTGTGACAAATATGATGGTTCAAAGATGAGGACAATAGTCCGACTAATGTAAATACTGTATAATGCAGCTTATCAGATGATATGAAAAGAATTTACATAAAATAGACAAAACTTGTCTATATTATTTAATGAAACATGTATCAATATATATATATATATATATATATATATATATAAAAACACGTGTGTGTGTGTATATATATCTATATATATATATATATATATATTGTGTGCAGTATGTTTTCATTGAGACAAGTTTTTTCTGCATATTTTCAACAGGATCCATTCATATTCTCAGATGAGCTTTCTGGTGTTGGTATTAAAAGAAGAGAGGAAATTACCATGTTGCTACATATTGTTTTATTCTGAGTACTTTTGACATTAACGCAATGTCATCCTCAGGGTATGTTTTTAAGACAAAAATGTAGTGTTCATTATTTCCAAAGACAAAATTGCTATGTTCATCTGAAAGTTATAATTTTACACATGGAGCGAAGACCACCAGCTTTTGTGCCATGCAGTGTATGTTACGCTCAAGGGGAGGTAACTAATTATGATTTGTGAAAAATTCTTTTGTTAAAATTTTAAAAAAATAATATATATATATATATATATATTACAATAAACGTGCAATCAATTTACAAATACATGAATTATTCACACAAAACTAGTGCAAAGGTTAATGGTTTAAATGGCGAGACATCCATCATCGCAAACAATTCAAATAGTACACAAAAACCTCCAGATCCGTTATGAATGAATTGATCCTTGTTTATATAAATTTCTGCCGTATTAGTTGTTATTTTACTACAAGCTTTGTCTGTTGTGTGTGTATATATATATATATATATATATATATACACACACAAGTTTCATGAAAAAAAAGACCAACAAGTTGCAGTGGTAGAGTTTTTTATAAAAGAAGTATAGTCAAAAGCACTTGGAAAAAATTCAGACAATTTTTATATAATTTGTATCCAGAAAAGAAAATTTCCGTACACAAGAAATTATATACAAAAGTTAACCACTGCACCTTGTCAGTAGTTTTCAACTAAACTTGCATAAAAGATGGATTGATACCCAAATACACACACATATATATATATATATATATATATATACATACGTACATACATACATACATGCATACACAATTGTACTTAAGACGATGTAAAAAGAAAAAAAAAGAAAAAACTTAAATCATCATAAATGAGTCTTAATGATTTAATTTTAAATTAATATTTTTAATATTCCTTTTTGCGATTTGTCTTGAATCTTTTTTTTTACGACATCCCAATCTCCTGGTTTGAAATTATTACTCTTATCATTTGAATATCAAAATTTGTATACATTAGATATTACATTAGTTCTAAGAAAGAAACAAAAATGGTTTGCCCAGCACTTTCTAAGAGCAATGCATTTCATCCTGACGTTCTGAGTCAAGATGCTCCCAGCCATCGGACAGTGTCATTTGTGGATTTTTTACTTTGAACATGACTAATGAATAGAGAGAAAAAGAAAAGGTTGTTTTATCACCGACAACTACTCCCCAACACCTTTTTCTGAATAGGAAAAATGAAAAAAATATTCATTCCCTTATTTTTCTTCTTCAATTCAGACATTAAACAAAAACATATCATACATTATTATGATATACAATCTAGAATAAAGGGGGATCCTAAAGCTATGGATTGAAGAGACTGAAACAAGCAAGTAAAAACTGACTTGGCAATTCTGTGTGTAATTTTTAAAATATTTTTTAAAAAATGCAATCATTTTAAAAATAATTATTTTATCAGAAAATGGTGATACTTACATTCTGATCAAAAACAATTACACAAAAGTAAAAACAAAAAAACATTTGCAAAGAAGCAAATAACATCAACCCAAAAAACAATATCACATTATCAAAGAATACAGGAGACAGGAATTTGTATATATTGATTAGTAATCAAAAAACAAAAATAATATTAGTCAAACAGTAAAAGCAATATTTAAGAAAACAATTTGGAAAGAAAAAAATCCAGGAAAAAAAAAAAAAAAAGTTGGTAAAGGAATTGAAATAATTTTACAAACACTACTATTATTATTGTTGTTGTCATTGTCAAAGATCAAAGGAAATTTGACCCTGAAATAATATGTCCATCAGTTTGAAAGTAAAACAATCATTGACAAATTAAACATTAAAATATTGTCAAATATAACAGTAATAAATTGTCAGAACTAAAATAAACATGTTGATAAGTGTTAGATTATTAACTTCTTGTCAGTCTTTGATAAAATAATTTGAACTGATAATTTCACCATTGTTACAGCTTTTTATTAATGAGTTCTGAGGCCTTCCTCAAAAAGAGAGGAGAGAGACAAAAAATACTACATCAAAGAAATGACTGTTGTCTGGATCAGTGAAGAAGGAAAAGTTGTTAAAAAAGAAATGAGAGTGATGAGTACTTCTAAATGTGACAGAGAGGAACAGACTGATCCAAACAACAAAAGTGGGGATACTAGTCTAAATGTTTCATGTGATGATGGGCAT